CTGCTGTATGAACACACTGGACCCTTTCACTGACTATTACTGGATCTGGTTTTACTGGATCCCTCTTTTCATTGGGAAGTGGCTTCTGTCCTGGCTGCCAGCCTATGCCCTGCCCTGTCCCACAACCCACAAGGGCTCTCAAGCCGCCCCACAATGGCTTCTGTCAGCACGATGCCACCTGTCTCTGACCCCAGGTACCTGTTTCATTGGCAGGGCACGCTGGAGCTGGCAGACTTTCCCCTGCAGAAGGGTTCCGTGGAGCTCCTCAAGCAGAGATGGGAGTCTGCCAATGCCGCAAGACCTGGCCCAATGCTCTGGTGCTCGCCAGCCCCACGGTCCCTGGTGCCGGGTAAGATCAACTCCAGCAGCTCCGTGGAGAAAGTGCCAGCAGACAGCAGAAGGGCAGATGTGCTCAAGGAGGAGACCCTAGGTGGCCCTCAGCAAATTGAGCACTTCCCCATCACTGTGGAGGAGCTGCGGAGTCACTTCGAGGCCCTGGGTGGCAGGAAGGTAAGTGCCTGGGCTGGGTGGACACCTCCACGGACTGGAGATGGGCCCCAGGGCTGCAGGGCAGTTTCCCCACCCTCACACCACCCTTCTCCTGTGCCCAGCTGGGGATGGGCAGGAGTAGATGTCCTGTGGACAATTTGGATCAGTATGTTAATACTGAGTATCCATAGCTTTCCTTGTTTCATAATGTCTGAGTCATTTTAATGGTTGCTGACTCGTGCTATCTGCCAACCTGTCAGGTAAGTTAGTTTGCAATTGTGCTTGGCCAGTGCTCTTTAAGGGGGGAAGAAAAACAAGATATTATGGCCTGAGAGAATAATTCTCAAATGAAACTATTTGCAAACACTCTCAAACTTTCTGAAACAATTGCTTCTTATTTACAGAACAGTACTGACTCCCTTTCAACTGAGAAACTTGCTGTCACTTCACCCATTGGCTTTCACTGGCATAACATGACAGGCCTGGACAAATTGCAACCTTTATTTGTCATCAGATTTTTGTCTGAGAAATGTCTGTGATTTCTCTGCAGTATCTGGAGATAAGGTAGGCTTTTATGAAGCTAAATAAATGCTTCAAAGAAGTATAGGATACTGAAAAGGCTACTAGGAATCTTAATTAGGGACAAACTTCATTTGTTTATGTGACTAAAAAGCTTTTCACCATGCTTTACCCCTTCTATATAAAAACTAAAATGTCCCTGTAGGTTTTGATTGCTGATGGAATACTTTATACTTTCCACATTGTAATTCCTCACTTCCTGTTCAGTTATTACGTTTTAAAAGAATGCATAAATGAATTTAAAAAAAAAAATCCCCTTTGTATAATTTTTACTCTAATTCTCAGTCAAAGATATACTAACACGTATGTCACAACTCTTGTGTTCTACCACCTTCTAATTCCTGCAGGGTAACCCTGCCAGTCCATGTAGTTAACCATTTACCCATTTAATTTTAATGTCTGGAGTGACTACAACATGGCATTCTAGTCTAGAAACTAGAGTTCAGAATAATGCAAGCTGGCTGCAGTGTACTTCATACACAAAATCCTGCTGTTAGAAGATATTAGAAAGCCTTTTTATGTGAATGGTAAAATAAAAATTCATATGATTCATGAAAAATCTTTCATTGACTTTAGACACATCACCAGAAGTAGCAGTTACCAATAAAAAAAAAAGTTAAAACTTTACGGGGTTATTGAGCACTTTAAAAACCATATAAAATAGTCATAGACTGCTGCTAAGTGGCATACTCAAATGACTTTAAGGTGGAGACCTCTTTGGTTGAGCTACCTTAGTCATTTTTTTATAATAACAAAATAAATGTGTTTTTTTTTTCCTATGAAGTACACGCAGCATTGCAGACATGATCACTCTTTCAGGAGCAAATTTGTTCTTTTTTAATCCTGTTGATTTGAAGATCTCATTGAGTGAGAAAAAACAAATTTTTGTACTTAACATTCTTAATTTCACAGGATTGCAGACCTTTATTTAAACAATAATTACTGGGAAAGCAAAAGAACTCCTTATTCCCAGTCTCAGAACTGTTAGGCCAATTAAACAGTGCTTTGTTAGTGTTTCTTTGAAAAAATTGCTACTGCCTTACCTGCAAAGGCTTTGAATTCACATGCAACTCAGAACCTGACCATTAGTATTATTATTTCACTCATATATACTTTATAAAAATTATTTTCAAGTTTATATATTTTTGCTAGGTGTTCCTCCAAGTGAAAATTTATCATTTCTGAAGCAAAAAGGAAGCAAAGGCTCAGTAAAAAGAGTGGGAGGTGGAGGAAAAAAGAGTCAAGGAAGTGTAACGTTCCTGTTTGTTATAATTTGTTTGCCAAGAGCACTGCATATGAAATGCATTTGAATAGAGCTCTAGCTAAAATCAACTTTTTCCTCTGGCTAGTGGTATACTCTTTAAGGGGCATGCCTTCTTGCTAAGTCACTGAAACTCATGCAGAAATTGCAACTGTTAAGATCAGTATCTTGCTAAGAACATTGAAAAGCAGATGCTGCTTATAAGCTGTGAAGCACAAATACAGGCTGAGTGGAGAATGGATTGAGAGCAGCCCTGAGCAGAAGAATTGATGAGAAGCTCAACATGAGCTGTCAATGTGCGCTTGCAGCCCAGAAAGCCAACAGTATCCTTGGCTGCATCAAAAGAAGTGTGGCCAGCAGGTCAAGGGAGGTGATTCTGCCCCTCTACTCCATTCTGGTGAGACCCCACCTGGAGTACTGCATCCAGCTCTGGGGCCCCCAACATAAGAAGGACATGGACTTGTTGGATTGAGTCCAGAGGAGGGCCATGAAGATGATCAGAGGGCTGGAGCACTTTCCCTATGGGGACAGGCTGAGAGAGTTGGGGCTGTTCAGCCTGGAGAAGAGAAGACTCCAAGGAGACTTTATAGCAGCCTACCAGTAGCTGAAGGGGGCCTACAGGAAAGATGGAGAGGGACTCTTTATCAGGGAGTGTAGTGATAGGGCAAGGGGTAATGGTTTTAAACTGGAAGAGGGTAGATTTAGATTAGATGTAACAAAGAAATTCTTTACTGTGAGGGTGGTGAGGCACTGGCACAGGTTGCCCAGGGAAGCTGTGGATGCCCCCTCCCTGAAAGTGTTCAAGGCCAGGCTGGACAGGGCTTTGGGCAACCTGGTCTGGTGGGAGGTGTCCCTGCCCATGGCAGGGGGGTTGGACTGGATGAGCTTTAAAGTCTCTTCCACCCAAAATCACTCTCTGATTCTATAAGGGGTAGAAAAGTGTAAGGAACAAGCTCCTTTTTCAGAATTCCAAGTGGGAATGGTTGAATTCTGTTACCCTGTTCAGATGACTGTCTTAGGAAATAAGATTTATAATGCCTTTGGGAATTTGTTTCCCCAGCATTGTAAAAGATCTTGAGATTTACAAGATAGAATCAATACAAAATGTAGAAAATGTGAAATCTGTCATCTGAATTTCAAAATGTAAGCATTACTTCAACATTCTTACCTAAAAAATAAAAATTTGAAATTGAGTCTACAATATACGTAGGCATTCATACCAAGGGTTTCTGATGCTGAAGAATTATGGATACTTAAACTCAGGTTTTCCACTTACAAATCTTGGCAACAGAGACCAAAAGCAGGACTGACAAGGTTTAAAAAAAAAAAATGTGTGAACTCCATAGGCATAAGAGTTCTGTGACAGGAGAGATTATTTCAGTAATACGAAAAGTTGATGGCATCAACATCTATGTGCAAGATCTGATGTCAAAATAATATGTAGAAATTACTTTTTTCTCCACTGGTAACAGTGAATAAAAGTAGAATCACGTCAGATAACTATGATCCACAGTGATCTCAGGCTTTGAATACACAGAGCCTGGACTTTGTATTGTATTTTAAGTTAATATACTGACAGTATTTAAAGATGCATGTTAAGCATTTGGTGTGTATCTGGTTAATGACAAGGACCCTAGATGTTAGAAGTGACAAAAGCGTTTATTAATATTGATGAATGTTAAGTATTTTGGTAGTTAAATATTACCCCATGAAATAAGATACTTGTAATGAAAAACAATAGCAATTAAGATGCCTGCAGAAGATATATTTTGACTATAGTTCTATCAGGTAATCAGTGATACAAGAAAATACTTATATGACAATATAATGCAAGGCTGTATAAAGGTTTTAGCAAACTGATTAAGATTAGAGCTCTTTCAGCCATTCTACATTTCCATGAAGTATGGGGAATGAGCTGATAATTTTTTCTTGCATTTTTGTAGAGGTTTCACCCAGAAGCAATAGAGAAGGTTAGAACAAAATTAGAAATGGCTCTATGTAAATCTAAGTCAACACCACAGAAATTACAGTGGAATTTTAAATTTTTTTTTAAAAAAAACCTTTTAAGGCTCAGAGCCAGCTAACTATATTACAGTTATCATATGCATAAATGAGCGTGCTCATTAGCCTTATGCTCAGAAAAAGACTGCCAACTGTTATAACCCTGCTTAAATGGACTATCTCTTGACTAATCAGACTTTCAACACAAGGGTCTATCTTATTATATTATTCCATGGGAAAAATTAATTTTATTCCAAGAAGGCAAAATACAGATGATGAAAAATTCTAAAACCTCTCATTCAGGTTGCATTTGCATTGCAGTGCTGTTACTTGTATATGTACAAAATAAGTAGAGAAAAATCAGGGCAATTAAATAATGTTAAACTATGGAGTGACTTCTAAACAATTAGATCAGTCATATAAAGAACCCTCTGTTGGTCCAAAAGTGAAACATATTATAATAGGCAGCTGCAAATGTATTTAGACTTTTGGCATATTTTTCTTCCTTGTGGCTACATGATAAACTATGCCAAATCCTATTTATTTGAATGGAATTAGCACTTAATATTGCAATAAGAGGATACAAAAAAAGAATAAAGAGTATCAGGACTGCGTTTAATAATTTGAAGATAAATCACTTGGTGAAGTAAAATTACTTTTGCCTGACTTTATCCAAGTGGAATTTGGATATATTTCTTTCTTAGGAGTATTAATAAGTTAATTATTAAGTCTGTTGCTGGAGCCTTTTAATGAAAGCCTGTAGTATTAGGCCTGTTCATTTTTTTCTATGATTCAGAAATAAACTGATGTCTCATTCTGATAAAATGAAAAGTATTTTCCCTTTTGCTATAGGAAAAAACTGTTTCTTAGGAAGGAATAATGTATTAAAGCGTCAATTTACTGTACTGACTTATCATTCCCATGAAACAACTACTTTAGTTTTTTTATCACTCAAAGGCATTGGAATGTTAAAACAACTAAGGCCTGTGTTTGCTGGAGAATGATTATGTATGTTCTTAAAAATACGTTAAAGCATCCCAACTGAGAAAGTAATTTCATGCTTACTTTTTAGAGAAATCTATTCAAAGAACTCATTAAAACCATTTATTTAAATAATCTGGTATATGTTCATTAAGCTGTGTCCTTTGCAGAAAACATATGAATTGCTGCCAGAAAGTAA